CAAGGTAAAGTCAGGGTGCTTGGTCCCCATGCCCCAACCCCTTCATCTCTGCACAGCCTCCCTGCTCGGTGTGCTGGCTAACACTCCTTTTGCAGACCTGTTCCAGCCTGCTCCGCCTCAGAGAAGGGCACTTTCACTCCCTCTGGGTTGGGGGGCAGAGGACAAGGGAGAAGGGAAGCACTCCTCCTCTCCTCACGCTTCTGGCCACAATTCCATTCTTGGTTCCATCTTATCTCACCAAAACAGTTGGCATCCCTATGATTTCTGCCCACAGGAAATCTCTGACTAAACATATTCTCAGTTCTGGGTACTCAGCCCCCCACTCTGCTTCCCCAAGGAAGCTCAGGGCCCACAGCGTACAGTGGGCTCCACCTTCACAGTCAACTCCTGTGACTTCCCTCCAAGCTTCTGGTCACCAGAGCTGTAAAGAGTGCCTTCCACATGCTGAGTCCTGGGCCCACCACTAGACCCTCTTAAAGGAGCCTCGCTGAGGCAGGGAGATAAAGAAGCCAGGCTGTCAGTCCGTGTCCTAGCAGTGACACTACACTGCTGTAGGGAGGCAGGCTTTGTGTTGACACCTGTGAAATTTGGAGCACAGGAAGTGTTCTACAAGTGTTGTCTATTTCTCAATTTCAGTTAATTGCATCTTTCAGTACTAGGATTTCTACTTGGTTCCTTTTTTTTACAGTTTCTAATTCTCTGCCAAAATTTCCAATCTTGTCTTTTAAATCTTTGAACATATTCTCCATGGTTCTCTTAGAGGCTGCACCTGACAACGCTGTGATTTGAACTCCGGCTGGCTCTCCTGTTGTCTGTTTTCCCAGAACACAGGTCATCATGAGTGTTGAGTGCACCTTGATTACTTCTCATTGACTGCTGGACTCTGGATGTCAAAATCTGCAGAACTTACTTGAGGCTCTGGGTCATGTTGTCTTTGTCCTGAGAAATGCACTTTTGCTCCTGCTAGGAAGGCGGGCTGGAAGCACAGCAGTCCCAGGTCACCTCCACCCAAAAAGGACTCCAGAACATTTAGGGGTGGGCTTCAGTAACTGTGAGGGCAGCTCCATGTTTCCAAACTGATAAGAGGGGTGCTTATCAGGGCCCCCCCTTCTAGGTAGCATGTAAAGTACAAGTTTTATCACCCTCACCAAACTCCATGAGTTTTCCAAATCTCAGCTGCAGAGGCTGAGTGCAGTGGCTCACACCTGTAATCCCAGCACTCTGGGAGGCCAAGGCGGGTGGATTGCTTGAGCTCAGGAGTTTGGGACCAAACTGAGCAAGACTGAGATCCCTTTCTATACCAAAAAAAGAAAAAATAGCCAAGTGTGGTGACGGGCACCTGTAGACCCAGCTATTTAGGAGGCTAAGGCAAGAAGATTGCTTGAACCCATGAGTTTGAGGTTGCTGTGAGCTAAGATGACATCACAGATGATGCCACAGCACCCTATCCAAGGAGACAGACAAGACTCTGTCTCAAAACATCAACAACAAATGTCAGCTGAAGTATTTGAAACCAGCAAATGGCTTCAGGCCTAAAGGGCCCCACTGCTAGGCTCCACTTCTCTGGACTCCAGTCTTTTAGAAATACATTTTGTCTAGATTTTCCAGTTATTTGCAGTGGGGTTGGTCCCAACCAACCTAGGCCAAAGGTGATAGCCGATACCCACGTTTTAAAAGTCTCATTATTCAGGATGGCCGGAGTTTGAGTAACATTTGAATGTAGGAGCAGAAGCAGTGCTTACAAAATTGAGTGGGACTGGGCTTGATGGTTCATGACTGTAATTCCAGCATTTTGGGAGGCTAAGACAGGATGATCACTTGATTCCAGGACTTTGCAACTTGCCTGGGCAACACAGTGAGACCCCATCTCTATAAAAAAATTGAAAATTAGCTGGTCTGCAGTGCCAGCAACTTGGAAGGCTGAAGTAGGAAGGCTGCTTGAGCCCAGGAATTCAGTTACAATGAGCTATGATATCCCACTGCACTCCAGCATAGGCAACAGAGTAAGACCCTTTTTCTTAAATAAAGAAATAAATAAATAAGAAAAGTTGTGTGGAAGCCAGGGGAGGAATGTCCTTTAATGCCACCCCAAAGAACTAGGACTGTATCTTAAAGAAAACTGAATCGAGGGGGAATGTTGCTAGATCTATATTGCTAAAATCATGTTGGGGACAAAGGACAGACAGATTAGACT